TAACTATATTTAAATGAGCATACTTGTCTTGTTCCTGATTTTAGAGTGAAAGTTTTCAGTTTTGACCATTTAATATGATGTTGGCTATTGGTTTGTCATAGATGGCTTTTATTAGATTGAGATAAAAACCTTCCTGCAATATTCTGCAAGTTTTTTAAAAATCATGAATGGATATTGGACTTTGTCAAATGCTTTTTGTGTCTATTGCCATGATCATGTAGTGTTTGTCCTTGATTATGTTAATGCTGCATATTACTTTTATTGATTTGTACAGTTTGAACCATCCCTGCATCTCTACAATGAATTGTACTTGGTCATGGTGCATAATATTTTTGATGATTTGATGCTTTCTGTTTGCCAGTATCTTCTTGAGGATTCTTGCATGTGTGTTTTGACAGTATCTTCTTGAGGATTCTTGCATCTGTGTTCATGAAAGAGATTGGCCTATAGTTCTCTTTTTCAGTTGAGTCCTCTGATTTTGGTATCAGGGTAATGTTTGCTTCTAGAAATGACTTTAGGAGTATTGCTTCTTTTTGTTTCATTAAAGAGTTTGAAGAGGAGTAATAGGATTAAATCATGTCTAAAGTTCTTATAGAATTCAGCAGTGAATACATCAGGACCTGGACTTCTCATTGTTGGTATTATTTTTATTACTTCTTCAATTTCACTGACTGATATTGGGTTATTTATAATTTTCATAACTTTTTGATTCAGCTTTGGCAATTCATATTTATCTAGAAATGTGTCCATTTCTTCTGAATTTTCCATATTATTAAAGTACAGGTTTTTGAGGTAGATATTGATGATCTTATAGATTTCTGCAGGGTTCATTTTGATTTTACCCTTTTCATTCCTAATTGCCTAGATTTGAATCTTTTCTTGCCTTTTTTTGATAAGGTTGTCTAACAGATTGTCTATTTTATTTAATCATTTGAAGAACCAACTCTTCAATTCATTGATCTGTTGTATTGTTTTCTTAGTCTCAATTGCATTAATTTCTGTTCTGGTCTTTGTAATTTCCTCCCTCGTAGTTGTTTTGGGTTTTACCTGCTCTTCTTTTCCTAAAACCCTGAGATTCACCAGTAGGTTACAAATTTGAGCTTGCTCTGTTTTTCTGAAGTGGGAATTCATTACTATAAATTCCCTTCATAGAACTACTGTCACTGTGTCACATAGGTTCTGGTATGTTGTATTTGCATTATGATTTAATTGTAGAAACTGTCTAATTTCTTCTTTAACTTCATCTGTGACCCATTGGTTGTCAGGAGGATATGATTTAATTTCCATGTGTTTATGACATTTTATGGTTTCTTTTGTCATTGATTTCCAATTTCATTGCACTGTGATCTTATAATATGCTTGAGGTAATTTTAATTTCTTTGCATTTACATTAGCATGTTCAATGAGGTAGTATGCGTTCTGTTTTGGAGAGGATTCTGTGTTTCTGAAAAGAATGTGTATGCTACTCTTGTTGAACAGAAGAATTTGTAGGTATCAATTAAGTCCACTTTTTCTAAGGTTTAGTTGAGTTCTGATATTCCTTTGTTGATTTTTTAAAATCGAGTTGATCTGTCAGTTTGTGACAGTGGAGTATTGAAGTTACCCATTACAATTGTATTAATGCTTATCTCATTTTTCTTATCCATTGGTGTTTGCTTTATATAGTTAGGTGTGCTTGTATTTGATGCATACATATTTATGATTATTATCTCTTCTTACGGGATTGTTGCCTTAACCTTCTATGTCTCTTCTGAACACTCAGCTTGAATTACACTTTGTCCACAAATAGAATAATTACCCCTGGTTTTTTCCAGGTTCATGTGGCATGGAATATTATTTTATGTCCTTTGATTTTGAGTCTATACTTTTATTTCTGAGTCAGATGTGTTTCTTGTATGTAGCATATTGTTGATTCTTGCTTCTTGATCCGTTCTGCCAGTTTGTTTCTTTTGATTTTTTTAGACAATTAATACTGATGGTGATAAGTGATACATTTTGACTTGTCCTTTTCATCATAATATTTTCCTCTTCTTGATTCCCTTACTTTTCCTTCTGTTTAATTGCTTGACTTGCCTGGTGGATTCATTCTATTGGGATTCTTGGAATTGTCTTTTTTGCTTCTTCTAGAATATCCTTCAGAAGTTGTTGGTATCTTATTTACCCATCAATATTGAGAGATAATTTTTCAGTGTACATCAATCTGGCTTGGAAGTTATTTTCTCTTTTGGTTTGAAATCACCCTTTTTGACTTGAGGGTCTGTGTTGAAAAGTCTGTTCTGATTCTAATGGGTTTTCCTTTACAGGTGATTTAATAGATAGCAAAGAAGTTACATTTTATTAACACAGGTCTCACTTTAGCTTGCTCTTAAACATCCAGCAGAAAAGTATGTACAAAAATATGTATCCTATATGCTGTTTCAATAGCTTCAATTATAGAAACAAAAGGGGGATATATGGAGGACCACAAATTCACAGTGACTGGTTATTTCCCTGTGGGATGAAAGGATTGGGATTGTTTGGTATCATCCAGCTGGGATTTCCCATTGACTCTTCTAAGCATAGGATCATCTATAGCTTCTTGAGTTATTACAGGATTATACTCCAGGTCAAGATACTTCTAAACATAAGATTACCTATGCCCTCTGGAGTCAGAGTCTTCAGATGAATTGTAATCCTTTGCTTGCACCACCTATCACTGTATGACAGATAATAAATAGTGGCTGATTTGGGAGCAGAGAGGTCAGATCCAGAGGCATTGGCTTCCCAGCCATTGTTAGAATAATACACTTGTCTCTGTTTTTATTTTTCTCACTATATTCTTGAGACTGACAATCAGGACTCATGGCCGGGTTCTTGTTACCTTTACCTGACCAGGTGTTCTTCTACCTGCACAACTGTATCTGGGGACCAATTGCTTTCCACGATCATCCATGTGCCTTTGGGTTATATCTTTCTACTCAGGACTCCTCTGATTCATACTCCATGAGTGGAAAGAGTGATGATCATACATACATACTTTGCACTGTATTTATTTAGCCAGCTGTGGCTTCTTTGCTCCTGAATAGAGTCCACACCACATAGCCTGCATGTGGACATGCAGGTGCCCTCACCTATCCACCCAAAGACAGTTTTGTTAGTCACTTTTCTCCAAATCTTTATGTTTCATTTCTATGTGTTTAGGCCCCTACTCCTCAGCATGAGGCAGTCGTCTCACTATTCACTGGGGCCTGCTGCCTCATATCTGCCTCTCCTGGCTCTTATCACAGCTGGAAGGGCATCCACCTGCATCCACACACTGAAATCTCATGAAGAGCTCCTTTTCCAGAAGATCCCACGTTGCTGCATCTCTGCCACATCCCAAGTGTTCATTGTTCCCTGCCACACACTAAGAGAGGTAATTCCTGCACAGAAAGATTAGGTTTTTCTCTCCTCCTGTTTTAGGGAGCCTACAGAGGAGAAAACCAACACTTTCAATTGTCTTTGAGGTTAGGATATATAGGCAGAGGTGAGCACATTTGTGAAAGGGAAGCATTACCTCCGTAGAGGTTTCCATTGAGAGGGAATAGGCTTTATGTCTTGCTTTGCCTGACTTAGTGAGGTATATGTTCAACTAAAATGTGTAAAACATCTGATGTGGGTAACTGAGCCCCACAGGGCCCATGGCATTTGCCTACTGTCTACATCCTGTCAGCTGAATGGAAACACAGCTGGGGACTCCAAAGGACATTTATAATACAACAGAGGAATCCACACAGTTGCTGAGGGCCTGGCAGGAGGAGAGGATGTGTTTGGAAGGTTTTTCTGCATGGCTGAGTGTGTACCATGTTGTGTGCATCTGTGGAAAGGACTTTGTTACTGAGCTAGGAGAGCTGGACTCTGGTCTGAGACAAGGGAGCCCAGGCAAATCACAGTTTCAAGGCTCCTACTAGGTATGGGTACGGAACCATGGTAGAATGTACACAGGGCTTAGGGAGTCACATGATAGGCGCTGAGGCATAAAGGAGGAAAGTTGAGGGTCAAGAGCTCTCATGAGGGTGAGGACCCTTGAGCTGTTCCAGATCCTATATCCTTCTACCAGATAATTCCCTGGAGATCTAAAGGTGAATCGCAAAGATGGAAGCCTTCTCTTTTGGCGTGTTCTTACTCCTGGACCTTGCTGTTGATGATTAAAAACTATTAATGAGCCAACCAATGAATGGCATCCAGATCTGCTCCCTAAAAGTGGAGCAGGCCTTATGCAGTCTGTTCTGAGAGTCAGTTGGAAGCTGAAAGCTGAGGCCACTCTGCACATTCTCTTGGCTCTCTGATATCAGGTAAGAGGACATGAATGAGTATCAGGCCTCTCAGTGTGGGTCCAAAGATCCAAAGAGTTGGGGAGTCTCAAAACTGGGCCATTTTGGCACTTGAGCCTTTTACCTTATCAGCATTACTAATTGGGCAAAGAAGTTTACTAAAGGTCCTTCTGGGGAATATGTAATTACTGCAATAGATAGACCCTAGCAAGGGACTCAAGAATGAGGGACACAGGGTCTGGCTGCCACAAATGTCATCTCAATATACCAACAGCTTTAGAGAAAACTGAAAAGGAATAATACAGTAGGAATTTGGGGGAGTTTATATACCCACACTTCATATGAGTTATTCTACTAACGCCTCAAAGAACCCCTCAGGGCAGGGGTTTTTTTCTTCTCTGTTCTACAGATGAGCATATATAGGCTCAGGGAGATTAAGTGATATGTCAAAGGTCACATAGCTAGAAATGGGAGAAAAATTGGAGGCACCAGTGATCCAGTAATGTTTTTCTAATCCTCACCTTCTAGTACTAGTGGGTTGCTTTCTTTAGGGTGATAGCAGAAGGACATATCCATGGTGCCTGGTGACCATGTGCTGAGGGGTACTAACGTGACTTTCTTTCTCTTCTCTAGAGCTTCAGGGAAGTCATCCAGGCAGGTCTGCCTGTCTCTCAGTGACCATGAAATTTTAGACACAGAAGCAGCAACATGGCTCTTTATCATATCCGCACATTCCAGGAGAGAGTCCAGAAACCAGAGCTGGACTTGTTCTCCAGAGGCATGACTGAGCATGTCCATGCCACCTTCCACCACATGCTGATGCTGCCTAGAACCCTACTGCTTGGGCCTGGGGTGCCTCTCTCCCTATTTCTGGTCACTGGCTCTTGGTTATCATGTCCAGCCTCACTCTGCTCCTCTTCTTGTGGTTCCTTGCCAGATACATCTGGAAACAGTATGTGGACGCATCTTTGCACACTGACCTGGAATATATCACTAAATCCTACCTGAGTGTCCGTGACTCCTGCTTCTGGGTTGCTGAGTCTGGGGGGCAAGTGATGGGCACTGTGTGTGCTCTGCCAGTGGAGAATCCACCACTGGGGAAGAAGCAGTTGCAGCTGTTTCATCTGTCAGTGAGCACGAAGCACCAAGGAGAGAGGATAGCAAAAGCCTTGGTCAGGACCGTCCTCCAGTTTGCCCGGGACCAGGGCTATGGTGAAGTTGTGCTTCATACAACCATGGTGCAGCACAGTGGCTTGGGCCTCTGTCAGGGCATGGGCTTCCAAAAGACAGGCCATTACTTTGTAAATATGCTCTGGAAGCTAAGAGATATCCCTGTATTTCATTTAATCTACCATCTCCCTTCTGCTCAGTATGGGAGCCTGTAACTCATTTCTTTTGTGTTAATGAAAGGTGATTGCATGTCCTGTAGTCACAAATGAATTATGATATTTCTATTACAAATCATAAAATCTCATTGCCTGTTCCCATCTGCGTCCAGCATGTTTGATGGTAGTCTTCATGCAATGGTGGCTCATTTCCCTTTAGTCTTTGTGGATTACCCCGTTTCATTTTTTTAGTGCCATGATAATGTTACTTTTCAGACAACCACATATAAAAATAAATGTACATTTTCTCAGAAGTTGTGGACCAGCAGTTTCTACTGGGTTTGGTTGGTATCTTGTTGGTCTCAAGATATCTGTGCAAATGTCCTAAATTGGTACTGTGTTGGGGATCCAGGATTCATCCTGTTTCACTTGTCTAACTGAGACAGGGCTCAGAGTGCCTAAAGAGTAGTCAAAACAGCAGGAAAGAGAAGTTTCCTCCAAACCGTCTTGCTAATACTGGCTGAAGCCACAGGCAAAGGTTTGAAATTAAAATCGTGTGAAAAGACTTGGGCAGCATTGTGCTGTCTCTTCTCTAGTCCAGATTTGGTGCACAGAAGGATGAAAGCAGAGAGGGTTGCGGTAAAGGTTGTTTTCACAAAGAGATCTAGAGGTATTTGGCCCTCATACTGACTATATCCAGATGGATAGTTGGGGAAGAGTTTTTCCCTGTATACAAGAAGTAGGGATGTTGAGCAAATGACTGTCTTAGATTGTTCACTCTTAGCACCCAGACTGGACCCAGTCCTATCCTCAAAGTCTCCTGGACTCTAGAATCACAGCTGTCTTATCCTGACCATGTCATTCTGGAGGCCTCAGTGTGGGAGAGTGGGAATGTGTTTCTGTGCTGATTTTCATAGGATTGTCTTTGTCTCCAGCTACTTCCTTTCTAATACTAGGGTGCCCATGAGTCTCTGGAGTCTCTTCCTGGGTCCCCCAATCTCAGGCTGACCTTCTGCAAAATGCACAACTCTAAGCACCCCTCAGCCAAGATTTTGTAACATGCAAGCAATATTTTGGATCTTCTCCCAACTGTATATGTATCTTCCTCCCTCCTGAAGGGTCAAGATGGAGAACACCCTGCACCATCACGCAGCTGACCCTGACATGGACCATGGAGCCCCTTTGCCATATTCATTCCAAGTGTCTAAATGCAACTGACTAGGCACCAAAAACATCATTTCTTACTCTTTTCTTGCAGGTCAGCTTGACCCTGGCCTTGGTAGCACTCACAATTCCATCTGCCAACTCATCCCTTTCCTTTGGGTTACATCCCCGTGCTTCTCTGAACTCAGTAATTCATGCACCCATATCACTCCCCCACCATGCCCCTTCACACCAGAGGTTTTTACCTCCTGAGCTGTATTGCCATCTTCTCCTTTAACAGTAGGGCCCTCACAATAGCCCACTGAGGAGGGAAAAGGAAGCTGAAGAGCTTTCTTCATTTCTTGCTGCTACCAGTTCTCCTTGCCCAACAAGGTCATTTCCTCAGGAGCAGTTCCTAGTGTGCACAAGGCTGGGGTGTGACGTGAAGGAGGCCAGGATGTTCCCTATGCTTCGGAAGGGACAAAGGGAAATGGATTTGCTAATCTCACACAAATAGGGACAGGCCCTGCTGGGATCAGGAGCCAAAGAGCCAAGGAGGCCAAATAGGGGCCAGGAGGGAAATTCTACCACACTGAAGTGAATGGGGGCACCCTGCACACTGAGGAAGGGCACCCTCACTGGAGGAGCCTCCCATGGAAGCAGAAATCACCTTATATTCCATTTTTATTTTTCCAACTACCCCATATAATAAGGCTTCCTCACTAGTTTGTGGATGCCTGCAGTTCACTTCCTGATTCTTCATCGGCCGACATCTTGGGCACTATGTTTGCCTTTCCCATCTGTCTTAGTTACTTTTCACTCGTTGCTGAGACAAAATACCTGAAGCCCAAAGTTGGGAAAGGAAAGGTTTATTTCTTACAGTTTTTGGAGGTTTCAGTTCACACTCAGTTGGCTCCTAGGCAGGCGGGCATGGCTGGGCCGCCTTTTATGGCAGCTGCAAACAGCAAGCCAGAACCAGCAAAGAGCAAGACACACCTTCTTCCTGCCATTACATCACATCCTGGCTCCACCCCTATGTGGGTGGAGCACTGACACCATCAATCCAAGCACTAGACAATGAACCAATCACAAATACACAATGCAAACTCATGAGGCCTGGGGGCCACAGCCATAAACCACCATCCAACCCACCTGTTCCCCAAAGTCACAGGACCTGCCCTGCCTTATCAAAAACCTACATTTCTGATTCTGTATCTCCTGCCTGTAAAAGCCTATAATATAAAAGCCCCAGACAACCAGAGGGTGAGGCCTGGCTTTCTTTTTTGTTGGGAGTCAGCCAGGCCTCTATCACCTGTGTAAAATAAAGCTGTTCCCTGCCTCCAAACCCTGGGTGTCATTTGGTTGTTTCTGTTGCCAAAGCAACACCAGGGCCTGGACCTATGCTTTTGGAACCCAGATGCAGCCCTGAAGCCTGATCTACCTGACCTCTGCACTCTCCTAACCTTTGCCACATGCTCTGTTCCCCTCAGGTCTCTTATAGGTCTTCAAGCACTTTGTTGCTGTTAATTGTGAGATGAACTTAAATAAAAAACTCAGTATATTGGTTTAGGACCATCTAAGTGAGCCTGGATGACTGACTTAGAGAAGACTGAAGAACCAACCTCTAAGCTTGTAGTGTGACTTAAATGAAGAGGGAGTCTCACTTTTGATTCTTGGGAGGAGCTGCAGTCTTTGCCATTGCCTTCCAAACTCTGCCTACAGGTTTCTTCTATAGACTTTTCAGACTCTCCTAGAGTAGTCTTCTGCCTTCCAGACCAGTCCCTTAGGCCTGCTGATAAGGACTTGAACAGGACCCTGTAGCGAGCTTCAAGCCTTCCATTTTGACAGAAACCCCCTGCTCTCCAGCTGGTAGGTGGCCCTGTTGCACTCTGCCATACATGACCCTTGAAAGCAGACCCTGTAAATCCTTATACAGAACATCATAAATATCTTCTTCTAATGAACTCTGAATGTTACAGTACCATTAACCTGATATATTCTGGTAGGACTTGGTAGGTCCATGTTATGATTTGTTTAAATGTCCCCCCAAGGCCTCATGCAGTCATGGAGACAGCTGAATCTAGCATTTGTGATTGGTTCATTGTCTAGCACTGGGATTGATGGTATGAGTGCTGCATTTGCTCACAGGCAGGGAGCCAGCATACAACATAAGGGAGAGAAGGAGGTGTGTTTTCCCCTTTTTGCACCTTTGCTCTTGTCGTTGTGGTCACCATGAACAGCTGCCCCTCAGGCATGCCATCCTGCCTTGGAGCCAGCTGAGCATGGACTGAAATCTCCAAAAACTGTTAACTAAATAAACTTTTCCTTTCTAATTTTGGGTGTCAGGTACTTTGTCTCAACAATGAGAGAAAAGGAACTAAGACAGTTCATCAACTTCAGTTTTTACAGAAACAGCAATGAAGATTGGATTAGAATGATAACTTCTGAACAGAAAAGAAGCCTTTTATCCTAGCTGAATTTTGGTTGTTGTTGCAATTTATTCCTTTGCAAGGCAGTGTGATACCCACATGAGATGTCCTATTGCCTACACACCTGTTACAACAAGAGTATTCCTCAATTATATGGTCAAAGACTAATATTAACAAATATTAATCCTGGACAGAATCCTCCTGCAAACACCATGGCAGCTAGCTTCAAGGAGGAAAAGATGGGCAGGAGTGTTCTGAGTAGGTTGGATAGCGAAGGAGGAAGGGGTCTGCTACTCTGACTAGCACCTCCCTCCTCCATGACCACTAGTAATGCCTGCCAGTGGGGCTGTGACATTTCTTCCTGAAGGACTTGTAGGAGGAGTCCAGAGCTGTGCAGGTGCACACATATGTTTATGCTTGAGGAAGGGCATGACTGTGTCGCAAGGAGACCAAAGGCTACAAGAAGTTCAAGGAAACCTCACAAAGTGTCACTCTCCATGAGATGGAAAAAATTGTGCCTTGAGGCATGATACAACATGTAAAAATCAAAAGCAAGCTGTTCAGGCAGTTTGGGGTCACCAGGGTTGGGGAGATGAGGAAATAGGCAATGATGGTTGTGAAGGTACGAGTTTCCTCTTGAACTGATGAAAATGTTTGAGGACTTGATGAAGTGGTGATGGTCAGCCTTGTGAATGTTGCATATGCTGAAGGCTGCATGGAATTTCTACAAGTAGAGACCCCAGGGAGGGACCAAAGTGTTGGAGAATGTGATCTTCTAGCACAAGTGCTTACGTGCTAAGAAGTTTAGAGAGGCTGTAATGTACAATGGGAAAAGATGAAGGTGTAAACAGGGTTGGTTTCCTCTAAGGCATCTCTTCTGGTCTTGTAGATGCTATCACCGCCCTGTAACTCTTGACATGGTTTTTTAAAATTTTGTCTTTGTGTCCTAATCTCTTCTTACCTTTGGGGGACATGTGTATGTTGGAATCCCAGATCTCCCACATTGTATCACTGAGCTGTATCTTTCACTTCCTCATCTTAAAATGCTGCTAGACATATTGGATTAAGAGTTACACTACTGATCTCTTTTTAACTTGTTATATCTTTAAAGGCTCTATCTGCAAATGCACTTTTTTTAGATACTGGTGCTAGGATGTCAACTTATGAATTATTGGCAGATTTAACTCAGCATTTAGCAGACCAACTCACTGTTCTCTACATCTAGGGATGGAATAAATCCTGGTATTTGTATTTACTTTAACTCTGAAGAAAAATGATATATAATACTTTACTATAGAGCTACACTTCCAGTCCCTTTCTGCTGTATCTGCCTTTACACACACACACACACACACACACACATACACACACATTGTAGCAGAAAATGCCCCCCCACCAATCTATTACTTGCTCAAATGACATTTCCTCTTGCAATTCTGCTTGCTTCTATTTCTTTGAAACAACTAGTTACTATGATGTATAATGTAA